ATCGTTCGTTACAATTTTTAATACGATAAAGCCACAAGATGTTAGAAGTTCCAAAGTTTTATGGTAATTTCATGATATGTCTCAGAAGATAAATGACCATGAAAGAAATAACCAACTGAAATGGTATATGTACTTGGTACTTAAACCATTAATAACATAACTTAGTATTTTATTCGCAATGTCTATTTTAATTCAATATTTGCTTAACCTAAGATCGTCTTTGTCCCATTTAGTGTTAATTGAGCCAATCGACTTGAATAAATTTTGAATGATTTGCCCAAGTACTTTCATGTACGTCACCAAACTCATCTTCACAGCTAAAAAATTGTAAAACTGCCATGATTTTTTGTATTCGTCGTGAGCCAAGGGGCGGAGCTTAATTGCAAAATCCATATTTTCCTATGTTTAAAACATACAAGAATAATGGAAACATTCCGTTCTGAATATGTATTGGAAATTCCATGCGCCAAATGTAGCGACTGACCTTAAGCGACTTCAACTGGAATTTTTATAAAATCGAAAAGAATTTTCATCTTTTCATTACAAAGTTAAAATGAAATAATTATATTTGACTAAAAAATATACTCCTTCGTACATTACTATTAACGAATGGATCCAAATGGATGAACCGGAACTGCAAAAAATTACATAATATATACATGAAATTTTATATTACTTCACTAAGACCCTATAAATTTAGAAAATGTAGATAATACCAGTCTCAATGTAAGAAAAAAAAATGTTGACGAGGATGTGATTCAAAGTCACACTGGTGGGGCTCAAGTTCGACCGTAACTCAGTCCACTGAGCTACGGCGTCCTTATTGTTTCGTGGATAAACCATTTATCTATTTGTAAAGTAATTGTGATAAAAATTCAGGGCGGATTCGTAAACCACAACTATAGTATTTTATAAAATTTAAATAGTATTTACGTCATTCTGGTAGTTTTAGAGTCTAATAAAGATCGACAGACCGATAGACGGAAACGGGGACCTATTTTTTCAAATTCTATTCAAATATTGGTTTACACTTTGCATTTTAATCAATCTTATCAACTATGAAAGGTGATCTAGAATTCAGTGCTTCGTATTCATTTTAATTTTAAATATGTACATGAACAGTCCTAATTAAATTGACGTAGATGACGTCAGAACTTTATCGTTGACAAGCAAACACTGGTAAATATTGTATTTATTTCAGATTAACGCGATATTTTCGAAAGGGTATCAACTTGAATTTGTAAAGGTCAGGTGTTTTATTTTTGTTACTTCGGTAGATGTTGGAGTGACCGTGCAAATTTTCGCCTTCCGACTCGCGTAATTATATTTGACAAAAACTACATTTCAAACACACACTAAAAAATTTTCCGACGATTATAAATCAGAAACGTATTTTGGACACAGCGTTCCGTTGTAAATATATCGTGCAAAACCCCATTGTGACACTTCAACCACTTTAAAGCCAACGTATAAATAGAATCACGAGCAACTCTCGCTTTCAGTATACAATTTTGCATGAACAATAGATACGCCTGGTTTTTTGATGTTGACAAAGACAATACATAATAATTCGAAATGCAAAACAATGTCATCAGATAACTAACTTTATAAACATACATCGCATGATGTGTCGAATATTATTTGGTTTACAAATGAAATTGGAGCCCGATTACCTATTTACAATTCGATATGTGTTTGTTTTGAGTTTCTGTTCTTGCCACTTCATGTTGTTTCGTTGGAGTATATTTTAAGAATCTTTAACATTAACACAATGTTTCCGAGCGAACATATGTATTTGATACGAATACGTTGCGAAATATTTTCTACCAATGCCATACGAGTTTTTTTCAATTGTTCTAGCAACAATGCCTATTATCTGTATTACTCAGAAGTGCGATCGATCTACATGGTCGAAAGTTGTTATATCCAAAGTAAAGCACTGAAACACCAAAAATGTAACAAATTACCAATTCATTTTCCGTTCGATTCATTCCAATTATGTGGTAGTTCTTGAGTGAATTCGCCCGTTGTAACTTTTTAGTCCAAAAATTACAAAAAAGTTAATTATAAACAAAAACGCCAATCTTCAGTAATCTTCTGTGAATTGCTACTGACTTGTTCTTTAATAGTAAAATTACAATATCATCGTAATTCAGCAAATTTTAACTGGAATATCATGCTTTTTTGAGCGGTTTATACCAAACCAAGTTTTTCAAGAAAAATTCTTAAAGCGACCTCATGTATAACAATAAATTCAATTAACAATTCGTTGATTAAACTGTTAATTAACTCTTATCTACAGTATGCAGAAAATAATTGCGCCTCATCTTACACGTACCACAAATCTAAGGAAGTTTTTGACCTCCAAAAACACAACAAGATTTTCAGTATGGAATTAATTAAAAAAGAGCAGTGATGCTTTTGTTGAAATGACGTAAAATGCACCTTGAACAATTCACAATTAAGAAAAATAAATAAGCTATAATTAATGAAACGTGGAAAATACGTTTTTATAGGTTTGCTGTTATACATACAATGAGAATCGCTGGAATCATAATTGATAATAAATGGACAGGATCTGACGTTAACTAATTATCGTATGAACACAACAGTCGACATTTTCGGCATTTACATTATTGCAACCATCATTGTGGTCGATAACATGCTGTCAACAAACCGTAAATTCAGGGAAGTTGATATAACTCATCATTACTTGGTGACTATTTAACAATGGAGCAGTAATTAGCGGAGAAACTCATTTTTTCTTAGTTTATAATTTAACGAATTACTTAATACGAACGTAATGCAACTATAAAAGCTAGTGCCCGCATGTAATCTACGAATAGAAAGTGGTTTAATGAAGTCGATATCGGTTTTTACGCCATAAAGTGCACTTTTCTCACATGAATGTGAGATTGCTAAACACACGTAGCAACAGTTTTAAAAAGCTGGCAATAACTGAAAGATTATGGGGTGAACTGAGTGTCATTAGAAGGCTCGAAATAACTTCGACGAGTTTTCTTATTTATTATTTCCTAAAATACACAGCTAGTTTTAATAAAATTCCATTAAGACTTGATTTTATTCGTTCCAAGGATAAGTTTGCTTATACTTTAAATTGATATCACCCGAAATAAATATTAACTCTGATTATTATCGATATTTTTATTGAATTAAGTGAGAAACTCATTTTATGTGTATCCGAAATAATGCATGCATAACACGTGTACAAGAATGTTATCGATCTATTGTAATTTTTTCGTATGCAACATGCATAATCGATGTTAACATTTTTAATCACTACGCTGTGATTATAGTATTAAAAATATACCAGCTCATAAAAGCATTTTTAGAATCAGAGGTAGAAACAATTAACGTTTTATGCATACGAAAAACTTGTGTGTAACATAAAATTAGCTTCAATTTAGTGTTGTATGGTGAATTTCATTGGAAACGCCATATTAAAATTACTCCCACGATAATACAGTAAATTTCATCGAAATTGTTGGAATTTTGTTGCTCAATTTGCACTTGGTTCTTTGAAGTTATTAAAATAACGTACGCAGGATTGTAATAAAAATGTGTAAAAACAATCACAGTGCAATAAAAATGTGTTTTTACAGGAACTCGTATTTTAAACGGTAATTAAAAAGTTGAAATTACAGCGAGAATATGAACAAGTTATAAAATTATAGTGTAATAAAATCAACAAAATTTTATGCCCAGTCATAGAAAAGCTAAAAATAGCTTAAGTTTCCTTATTAATTACAATATGGAAAGCTCTTTTTCCATGGATCACCAATCTCGTATTAGTCTCAAATATAACCAGTCAAATATTTTGGCAACTGAAAAACGGTACTTCTACGAAGTAAAAATTTATAACAAGGTCAACAATAAAACACGTTTATTCTATTTTAGAATCATAATATTGTCCATAATCACCCAAATGCGGGCATTAATTGGCGTTTATGGCACAGATCAATCAAAAATCGTTAAGCAACGATCGATTAATCATTTAAATTAATTAGCTATTTAAATAAGATCCGATATTCAACATTTTTGTGAAAGTTGAGGAAAATCACATTTCATTAAATCATTCCCTTGGCGACTTGTATTCGCATCAGCACAATTCACACAATCAATCATGCCAGAAATACTCAATATTTCGTTAAAAATATTTTAGAAACTAAAATAGAATAAAACGTAATTGTATGAACCACGGGCATAATTGTCGATTATGGCCCTCGGGAAATTAAAAGTCCTCCTACGTCGGGCTTTAAACATTCCCTGGTGCCATAATCTCTTAATTATGCCCTTAAAACATGGAGTAAATAGCTATGTATAGACTCCTTGAAACTTTTCCGATCTTTTGAGAGTTTAAAAATTTATGTAGGTGGCAAATCACATTCATGGATGTTTTTCGTGTTTTTTCTTTACTCTCTTGGATATTCAATTCGCTTTGACGTCAGTTGAATCATCTGTAAACCTTAATATCTCTTATCGACGTAAATTTTTTTTTTCAATGACATCTAGTTGTAAACAACGGTTCCTTAGGTGTGTCACTTGTATATGTTTTTCGGCACGATATGTTCAACAGGTGGTATGTTTTCCTTTATATTTAAATATGAAACCACAATGCTAGCTACTTTTCAATGCTGATTTGAATTTAATCTCTGGTTATATATTTAGAAGAGTTGTCAATCCGCGACAATTAATATTTCTTGGAAACAAAATGAGCAGCCTGTTTTACAAAACATTGGCACCAAAAGTTGTCATATACAACTTAACGAATTTTTATTTTTTGGCAAAACATATAGAAGTCCTTGGAATATTATATCAACAAGATACTACAATTAATCGACGTGAAGATATCTTCGATTTCGTAATTTAAAGTACATATGGATGCAATTTTATTAAACAGAACTGTATATGTTATTTAGGTATGATAACTCCTCTAGAAAGGTCATCACATCATATATATCATATCCCCCCTCAACACATTTAAAAGTATTTATTGAAAGCTTAACACTACAATTGGTATTTGTTTGAGTGTTTAAATATGCGATGGTTGACACTGGTAACCTTAATTGGTAAGTTTTTAGTCTATATCAAACTTGCAAATCTGGACAATCAGGTTTACTTACATGTTAAAGGTTACACTCTTCACATTATCTTTGCCTTCAATCATCAAAATGAAGCAGTTTATAAATGGAATGCAGTGGTTAGAGCCGGTACCTACCTTCCGGTACCACACGCTTCTATGTCGACCTTAACCGGAAAAATACACTTTAAATCCACCAGTGACACCACTTATGCGAAAATATCAAATTTAAATTATAAACTCTACAACGGACCCTTAGACCACGTCCAAGAACACCAAGCTCACGACCTTCCTCTACCCGAAGAAGCGAATGAAATCGAAAATGTTTTCCAAATCGTCTACAACGACGGATTGGTTGCCAAAATATTGACCCAAAAAGATGAAAAAGAGTTTTCTCGAAATGTAAAAAGAGCTATTGCTTCTATTTTCCAGATGAACAGTTCTATAGTGAGTAGAACTTACCAGCACCCTGAAACTTTTATCGGTCGGGAAAATTCGCTACATGGAAATATTATAGTCGAGCACAGCATCTACCCAAGCGAAAATGGGCAACTAGAAGTACACAAGTTGTACGATATGGCAAACACTCGTGTGTTCAGAGATATCTCCGCTGATGCAAGACATTCTCACTGTGAAGTAAAACCAGAACACCCTGTGATGCAAAACAGTAAAAGAATATACACAGTTGTTACAAATAACGAAAACAGAGTTGTTACACACATTAGAGCAGTGGGAACTATCGTGTACCACCCGTACCAAGCAAAATCTGACGCTCAGATCATTTTTGTTGACCAAAAGTTTGAGTTAGTAAAGGACGGGCCAAAAAATGAAGAGTACCACCTAGACCCTCCACTATCTGAACTAGATTTGACCTACCACCCACACGTTTTGTTAAACAGCGGGCTACTAGATGAAAGCAATGGGCGTCACACCCCCGATTACGAAATAATTTTGCCACAAATTCGCCAACTGCTAGCCGACATCTCTGCGTATTTACAACAGAACCATATTAAAATTCAAGGACCCGACACAAAACACGAACAACTTATTAACAGGGTTCAAAGATTGCTGACGAGATTAGATGCACAAAAATTACACGAACTCCACAAAAGTTTACAGCAAGACACTCTGGACATTTTTATTCAAGTTCTACCACTTATTAGCACCCCCGTTTCTGCTCTATACATCAAGGACTTGATTATTAAAAACGAAGTGAACGACGAAATTGCGGTAGAACTTTTACAGAAACTTCCAGACTATTTCAGTCCATCCACGAAACTGCTCGGTGATCTGGAAGACCTCATTCATCTGAACGACAGTTACAGCTGGGAAGTACGCAAAGTTGCGATTCTCAGCTTTAGTACTCTCATCTACAGATCGTATCTCTTCGCGAAAGAACATGCACTGGGAGAATCAGAAGACGATTTACAAAGTCCCTACCAAAAATATGTCGATGAGTACGTCGCCAGGTTGCAAGGGTCCAACGAGTATAAAGTCCAAATGGTCTACACCTTTGCCTTATTCAACATACGACTCCCCATCACTCTCAAGTACCTCATTCCAGCTTTGAATGGTGAGTATTGGTCCGACCAGCATTTACGGTTATTAAGCCTATGGGCAGCAAGTGCCTCTCTGCTGGATTCTGGTTCTGTATTCGAAACATTTTGGCCCATTTTCTCAAATCGCAATGAACTAGTAGAAATAAGGTTGATTGCGTTCTATTACATCATGCATTCGCAGCCTAGCCACTTTAGACTGAACAATCTCTTCACGTATTTAATTACCGAAACGGAAAAGGAAGTCTACAGTTACTGCTATTCGTATCTACAGTCGGTTTTGAAGTCCACGAACCCTTGCAATGAAGAACTGCGTCTCAAGATTGCGCAGATGTTGAAGTTTAGCCCACCACCTCGAGGCGGACTCTCGTCAGTAAAGCATTACGGGTATACAGACTCAAAGTTTGGTTTTGGATCAGAAATACAATATCATGTTATTAATACGAATCGGTCACATCTTCATGCAGTGTTTTTGTTGTCCCACGAGCATGATAAATACCAAAGGGACCGTATGTTTTTTGTGAAAATACACGACGGACGTCCCGGAGATGCCACCTCTATATTTTCCTTGTATAAACCTTACGTAGAAAGGGTAATAATTAAAGGTGACTCTCCTCACATTGAAGGTGTTTTCCTAAAACGCGACAAAGTTGTCAATACTTTGTATGTTGACGAAAACACTTCACTTGATATCCAAAGGACTCAACAATGGTTGTTCCAAGACGATGATGTAAGGAAGACATTTTTAGATATACATTATCAACAACATCAAAGAGTGCTGATACCTACAGATATCGGGTTTCCTGCAATGTGGGAGTTTCTACAGCCACAGGTTACTCAAAATAATATAATCAGAATTACAAAACGGTTAAACTACGAATTCGGATATCGATATGTAAACTGGATTCACTTTCACCACGGTCTCAGTTTTTACAATCCATTGGGAGACATTTGGCAAGGTGTTGGCAGATATCACTGTTATGATGAAGCTTGGCCTTTCAGTTTCAAGTGGTTTTGGAATAGCGTAGGCAGTGTTGGTGTATCTTGGGAGAAAAATGGGTTTTTTGAAAAAAATACAGGCGGGGTGCGAAGCCATGTGAAACAAATGGTCTTTGCTAAAAGCGAAAATCAACACGATATCTTGGAACAGTCAAGTCCCCATTCCAAACCCTTTCACGTTGTTAGTGATGGCAAACGATTCAGACACGACGTAAGTACAACCACAGTACACTACTCCTTCTAATTCTTCCATTTTAGTACAATTTAATCGATGTGGATGACTTCAACACAGGCCACAAATTATACGTGAGTCTTTTTGATAGCGACGTACACGTTTCTAATGGATCGTTCAAACACCAAGTGACACAGTTTGCTCAAACTTACACCAAGCAAATCCACACCCCGATTGACCATTTAATACTCTCTCTTATGAACTGGAGACAATACACCATGATAATGCCAGACCCAGGAACGCATGGTTTTATTCTGCAGGTGGTACCAAGTCAGAAGTACGACATAAGCAACATCAACTTATCTTTCTACATGGGACTGAAACATGAGGATTTTCAACTAAAATACGACATAGAAAGTAATAATCAGATCTTGAAAAGCTGGGTTGCTAATTTATCAGTGGAAATCAATTTGGGTTACACTTTTGAAAAATTCAAACTCAATTTGACTCGCGTAATTCCAAAACAACAAGATTATCGAATATGTGTAGACGGTTTCAGGAAAACTACTAGAGAAATAAGTGGTCATTTTAGCATCAGTATGGGTCAAATTAACAAGGACGTTTGTCCTCATGATAGTGATATTGAAGTCGATGTGATAGCAAAACGATCCTTGGAACAGACTGATGGTAACCACAAGTACTTGTCTTGTCAATATGTCGTTCCTTATTTTTTCAAACCTTTTAATACTGCGGAATGTTCGGCAAGTCCGGACACACTCAGACGTTCCGAATACCATGTAAAAACAAAAAACTTGTCCAACGAACTTAAGAAAAGTGCTACCAATTGGTGGAATCGCTTAGTCAGGTACTACCAGTCTTATTATACGTTTGAAGAGCAAAACAACGACAACCTCGGCAACGAGGATTTACAAGTTGAGATAGAATTTCCTATGCAAGCCAATGAAATAGATGTTCACGTCGGTACTTCTCAAAATTTACATCATTTGAGTGGAATTCCTGCAGGATATTGGAGTTGGTTCGGTGTATCAGCAGATAATGTAACGTCCCCTCGACAGTTATTCCGCCTTTTTGGAGATGAAGCACATCTTCTATGTACCGTTTATTTTGATCGTCAATATTTTAACGACACATTAGTTTCTAAAGAAGTACCGAGAAACTGGACTTTGTATGTAGACCGCGGAGGTGTCATCAGTATATATGCCAAAGCTACATCAAATAACACACTTGTGAGTTAGTTATTTTTAATGTTTCACTAAGTAAATAGCCAATTTTTAGGCAATGAAAGCAGTCACGGGTGACGTTATCTTAGAAGTTAATCCGTATGGTGAAAGCTTCCAGATTGTTGTAAACGGCAAACAGAAATCTATAACAGAATATTTCCAACACAAATGGTTCATTTATCGTCCGTATGTAGATTTTAATCTACCTAGCGACTTTCTTTTCAAAATTGGGTTTGGTGTTGAGTATGACACCAATTGCTTAAAATTTTTTGGGTACCGTAGCTTTGACGGTGGACTTTGTTCTCAAAAGCAAAATACTGTAGGGACAAATAAATGAGATATTTTTTTTAATTAATTCTCTAATGACTTATTATTAGTGAATCAGATCAGATCTTGATGTTTCCCTTGTTTAAGGTTTTCTAAGAAATTTCTGGTACTACCGCACGTCTGTACCCAGCAGCGAGGGTATTAGGCTGCTCTACCTCTTCTCTGTGGGTTTCCATAATCCCATATACGCTTAGTTACAATAAAGTGGACAAGGACCAAAATTTCTTGGTTTGATCAGAGAACATAGAGAAGCGTCATAGTTTAAATTAAATGACGGTTGAGGACTCCTCGACTTATGTTGGCAACAGTGTTTGTTTCTAACTAGGAATAAAATTAACTACAATAGAAAAAATGTCATAATATTTTTAAAGACGCGTTTTACTTTCGACAAATTGACACTAGATTTACCAGAATATTACAATGCTTAATGTTTCCTTCACTTTAATTCAGGTCACACGAATTACAGTTCGTCGTCTGAGAACTTGTTTGATCTACAGACCAGAGCGCACTCAGGCCAATGTCGACTCTATAAGCGTTCGGAAACGATTTATTTATAAGCCATGATCCGTGTGATCTGATACACACCGGTTTCGACCATAATTTCTTGCTGTTTCAACTTTCGAATTCTCAGTTTTTCGAAATTTTAGTTTGGGGACTTTTCTGTTTACTCCTATTTATTATTCCATTTTTGGATTTTACAATTTCTCAATTTTTCAATTTCTCGGTTTTCAGTTTTTCTCTTCAATTTTACGATTTTTCAATTTTTGACTTTTATAAACCCTTTATTTGTCGATTTTTCAATTAATGGATTTTTCAGGTTTTTTGGTTTTTTAATTTTTCTTTTTTTCAGGTTTCTTTTTTTTCAACTTCACTTTTTTGATTTTTCGATTTCTCAATTTTTCAATTTTTTAGTTTCTCAGTTTTTGGACATTTCAGTTTTGGGATTTTTCAGTTTACTTATTCTTATTATTCAATTTTTCGATCTTACGATTTTGCAGATTTTTGATTTTTCAATTTTTCGATTTTTTTTAAGGTTTTCGGTATTTCGACTTCAGTTTTTTGATTTATCGTTTTCTCAATTTTTCGATTCTGTTTTGACATTTTTCAGTTTTTCGATTCGTCAGTTTTTCTTTCATTTTTCAGTTTTTCGATTCGTCAGTTTTTCTTTCATTTTTCAGTTTTTCGATATTTCAGTTTTGGGACTTTTCAATATTTGTGTTCTTCGACTTTTCCATTTTTGACTTCTGGATTTTTCGATATGTCGACTTTTTACTTTTTCGATTTTTAAATTTTAGATTTCCCAATTTTTTGGTATTTTAATTATGCAATATTTAAAATTTTTGATTTTTCGATTTCTTGATTTTTCATTTCAGCTCTTCCATATCCATCTCCGGGTTTTAGATTTTCTATTTTTCAATTGTCGTTTTTTCAAATTTTCGATTTTTCAATTTTTCAAATTTGACATTTAAACTGTAAATTTTTCGATTTAAATTTAATTAATCGATGTTTCGATTTTCCCATTTCTTGACTTTCGAGGGTTTCGATATTCCTGTTCTTCAATTCTTTAATATTTCGATTTTTCATTTTTTAGTTTTTTTAAGGTTTCGATTTTTCGATTGCTCAATTTTTCGACTTTTTTAGATTCTCAGTTTTTGGATATTTCAGTTTTCGATATCTCAGTTTTGGGATTTTTGAATTTTTCAATGTGTCCATTATTTTACTTTTTCGATTGTTCAATTTTAGATTTTTTAATTTTTTAAATTTTAGATTTTTCAATTCCTCGATTTTTCAATTCAGTTCTTCGATATTTGAATTTTTCAAGTTTTCGAATTTTTCAAATGTTTCGATTTCTTAATCTTTTGATTTTTCGACTTTCCGGTTTTAGTTTTTCTGTTTTTCAATTGTGGTTTTGTCAAATTTTCGATTTTTTTATTTTCAAATTAGACTTTCATAAACTCTCAATTTTTCGATTTTTCAATTAATCGATGTTTTGATTTTCCCATTTCTTGACCTTCGAGTGTTTCGATTTTCCTGTTCTTCAATTCTTTAATTTTTTGATTTTTCAATTTTTCGATTTTTTAAGGTTTCTATTTTTCGACTTAACTTTTTTGATTTTTCGATTTTTCAGTTTTTAGATATTTCAGTTTTAGCATTTTTCAATATTTCAATTCTTCGGCTTTTCTATTTTTGACTTCTGAATTTTTCGATGGGTCTACCATTTTACTTTCCGATTTTTCAATTTTCGGATTTTTAAATTTTAGATTTTCCAATCTTTTGATATTTTAATTTTTCAATGTTTCTTAATCTTTCGATTTTTCGACCTCCTGGTTTTAAATGTTCTGTTTTTCAATTTTTCGATTTGTTAATTTTTCATTCCCCATTTATCGAGATTTGATTGTTCAGGCTTTCGATTTCTCAGTTTTTCAATTTTTTATTTTGGCCTATTTCGGTTTCTCAGTTTTTCCAGTTTTCCATTTTTTCGTTTTTTCGTTTATTGATTTTTCCAATTTTTCAACTTTTAACTTTTTGTTTGTTGATTTCTCTATTTTTCGATTTTTCGACTTCATCACTTTTCGATTTCTCGTTCTTTTGATCTTTCAATCTCTCAATTCTTCAATTTTTCGAATTTTTAAGTTTTTTGATTTCTCGATTTATCGAGATTTGGATTTTTCGATATTTTGATTGTCAATTTCTCAATTTATAAATTGTTTAATTTTTAACTTTTTGATGTTTCGATTTTGGCCTGTTTCGGTTTCTCAATTGTTCGACTTTTCGACTCCACGATTTCTTGATCTTTTGATTTTTCGATTTCTCGATTTTCCAATTTTTCGATGTTTCGATTTTTCAGTTATCCAATTTTTTAAATTTGGGAGTTTCGATTTCTCGATTTTTCGTTATTCGGTTTTTAAATTTTAGATTTTTGAATTTTACATTTTTTCGATTTTCTAATGTTTCATTTTTCGATTTTCAGTTCTTCGATATTTCGATTTTTCAATGTTTCGGTTTTACGATTTTTTAAGGTTTCGATTTTCCGATTATTAGATTTCTCGATTTTTCGATTTTTCGATTATTTTAATTTTTCTTTTTTTTTCTCACTATTAATATCATACAGTGTATCGAAAACAACCACAAAAATTGTCACTAAAAACATTTAAAAATTCATACAAAATAGAACACAGTGTTTCCAAAACATTTTCCCGAAAAAATCCATAGGGTTATTACGATTTCAACAATATTCTTAGTTTAAGATGTTTTGCTAGTATAAAACACAAATAAAGAATTAACTCTTAGTTAAACAAAATATGTAAAATCATCTAAATATGTACCAATTATAGTCCAAACCAACCAAATCGGCTCTGAACGCTTAGAGTCGACATTGGCCTGAGCGCGCTCTGGTCTGTAGATCAAACAAGTTCTCAGGCGACGAGTTGTAGTGAAACAAATTTTTTTATTGGCATCGACTATTTAAATTTGGCGCTTGTCTTTGGCGGTTGAGGATTCCAATGTCTAAATTAATTGATTACAAAAACTTGAACTTGAAACGAGAACTTTCTGAGATAATATTTTAAACCACGCACTAGAGTGATTTTTTAATAAAAATAAATATGTATTTAAAAAAATTATTACAGGTAGATCGGAAGTAGTATTTTTTTTATTAAAGATCTCCCATTTCCGTCTGGCTGTCGTTCGTCTGTCTGTCTGTCAAATAAGTAATTTTCGAAACTACTGGATTGATTATTGTTAAATTTGATATGTATTTTAGGAACATATATTTAAACTTGTGCATTTCTAAAAGTTCTCGTTTCGAATTCAAAACTTTCTGTAATCAAACTTGAAAATTTTGTCGATTTTATTCCATCTGAGCGTTTATGGAATTACCGAAACCCGCAGCGCAGAGGTGGAGACAGCACTTTTGCGTGCGATAGTACATCTGCGACGCTTATTCGGGGTTATTACAGATTTATGTACACACAATTGCGATAAAATGAGGACACTATATCATATTACCCTGTGTCGCTTAGTCACACGAAAGGAAGTCAAAAAAATTAAAAATTAAACACAAAAGCAGCGCAATCAGCTTGCGACAAGACACAAAGATAACATTTTCATGACTTCATTGTGTGAAATGCAACGAAGTGATTTCCACAAGAACCGTAAATCTAATTACGTACGGTAAAAACAACTCAGCAGATTTATATCCTTGTTTATGTTAAACGCAATTATGGAAAATTTTAAGGTTGTTACAACGTCGCGCCGGTTCAACGCTATCAATCATTGCAATTTTCAATTTTTTAGTCTCGATACAATTTCTAACGTCTCTCGCACAATCGCAACGATTTGAAGATGTGTTCAACACATGTTTGCCATTCTGCATGTATGAATACTTAATCCCGCTTAATCCACATGTTGTTTCTAATTATAATTTCTCTTACCGCAAAAATTTCTGCTTAATTAAAAATGCTTCCGGTCTTGAGGAACTTTCAAGCTTCGGCCCTGACTGCGCCACCAGTTCAATTAGTCAACCCGCAAATTAATCTCATTAAATCATTAGGTGCATGTTAGTTTCTAGATTTATTCTGCGAAAGTCATTAACTAGGAAAAACTTTGGACGCAGTGCACTTTTTATCTACTCAGCGAATTAGTCCAGTGGCGAATGAGTCATCAACATCAACTGTAAATGATAGCCCGCAAACATCTACATCCTTTCACAAAACACTCGTCTCTGTTTAGTCCGTTATCAGTCTTATCAGTTCATCTTGCGTTATTGTTTATCGCTAGTGGAGCGTTCTAGAGCAGAAAGCTGAAAAGAAAATAGAAAAGATGCGTTTATCTTCGTAATTGACTATTCAGCGATTGTGGATTCTATTACGTGCCGCTTACGACATAAAGGAGATAATTGTACCATTGCGATAAGTTAGATGGTAACCTATATATGGTCTAACCGATAATGGATTATGAAACAATAATTTGTAACTTACGTTTCTAATGTGAAAATTTTGCAGTTCTTCGTTTATTAATCACACAAAA